GTAAAAGATTTAGGAGATAGTGAAGTGTAGTGCTGTGCATTTTTTCTGCCAGAGGATCCTGAATCATACCACTGGACAGTTGATCGTCGCTACCATGACTTCTACACTTTAGAGTCAAAACTGACTGAGTTTCATGGAGTGTTTCCTGACACCCAGTTGCCTCCAAAGCGCATTCTCTTTGGCCCACGTGGTATTGAGTTTATGGAATCTAAACGACAGGTATTTGTTCTTACATCTCTGATTTGTATATAATGGCCCAAGTTATAAAATGTTTCTCTACCTGTTGTACCTAAACACAGTTCCTTGTCAACCTATGTGTGATCTATCAAGCTGTACTTAACTTTGTGAACCTTGGAGGCATACAAACAAAAATACAAGGGACATGCTCTTAGTGGTACTTGGTCTATTTAACATTTTTCAACAGCACACGTATTGAATTTTATGAGGTGGTAATGTTAAATAAAGAAGTGGAAATAATGTAGAAAGAAACAGTTTTGGCCTGTTTTAGTACTCTGAAGTCAAGGTTTATTGTTCAAACACAGTGTATAGGTTGAGGAGAACTGAAGCCGTCATACACTTTTAAATGAAATATGAAAGCGTGTGTGTTCACTGTAGCACTTCAGGGAGAGTAGTGTTAAATATTCAAAAAAAGGAGAACTGTTTTTTAAAGCAGGCAGGTTGAGATGGTGTTGCAGTACTATAGCAGAAGTGCCAGCCATTACATCACTGTGTTCAGTGAGACACAATGAGAATGAGAACATTCATGGGAAACATAATTGTAAGTTATATGTTGGAAAGGTGACTGGAAAAAGAATTTTAGATCTGTTATGTATTTCTAATCCTATGTTGTACCTCAGACTCGGTTTCTGAATTGTAAAAGCATACTACCATGAGTGGTGACAAAGTTGGGAGATTCTGCAAAATCCAGTCAGTCACTAAATTTTTGTCCTGAAGTCCTTTTGTTGAAACAGGTGTTTGAAGAATTTGTGCAGCGTCTCCTTCAGAAGCCTACTCTTCGAGGAAGTGATCTCTTGCATTCATTCCTGCGTTCTCCAGGAGAATTTGTTCCTGCAGGCCCTGGGGGCATTGCAGGAGCTATGCCTGAGGGTTTAGGCCGCATAATTCGACGTTCTGTTCCACTACGACTAAGAAAGGAGAGAGGACAGCATCTTGATACATTTCTGAATGCATTTGTAGCCTCAACCGAGGGCAGCAAAACAAAGACTAGGTTATATTCTTATATACTGAAGTATAGTTGTTAGCATAGTTATATTGTTACAGTTCTTTCTCTTCATATATGAATCACTTCAAATTCAAATATTTTCTTGCACCGGCAGACTGGGATGAAATAGTAGACAGGTCTTTTGGCAAAAATAATTGGAAAATATTTTATTGACCAAGCATTGTTTTTTATTGACTACCTCTTTTGTTGTCAATTCTGACCTATGACTGTTACAGCTTTAATACAGTCATGATGCTAACACTGACTCATAACATCACTCACTGCATTTGATATCCATTTTCCAGCAGCTAATTGATGAATATGTATCAAAATTAAAGAGCCAGGATTTATTATAGAAGCAAAATAAATTTAGGTATGGTGCATAAGTATCTCTGTATAAAATCAGATTGTTTAAAGTTCTTGGAAACTAGTAAAAGCTTGTAGGATTTGAGGTTTTCACAATGGTGAGTCTGAAGATGGCTGTCATCTGGGTTGATGTTCTTAGAGCAGTGAAGATGTTGACGTTGGTCTTCTGGGTTGTAATGCTGTCTTCACAGTGTTCTTCTGCAGAAGACCAACATCAATACACTGTTATGCTAATTATTTGACAGTATTATTACAGAACATTTATCTTTTCACAGCAAGTATGAATGGAAAGATATGAATGTGGAGTCCCCAAGAAGAGTCCGTTGCCTCACCAAGTCAGTATTCCAGAACAACTTTGGTGTGGCAAGCAACCAGCCCCTGTTTGCTCTTTCTACCAGCAGATCACCTTCCAGCAGCAGTCTGCCTGTGCAGGGGGTGTTTGATTGCCTTCTTTATCTTGGTGAGTGCTACATAGATGTTTCCTCAGCACAAATTACACTGTAATTTGGGATATGAAAGAATGGGTATATGTCAGTGCATTAAAATGCCTGAGAGGTCTGACATGTTATATTTTATATAGAAATAACGTTTTGGTATATAATAAAGGTACTTACATCATTAATTTGAATGGCCTGTGTGTTGACAGGAAAACATGTAAATCATCCTTTAGCTTCATCTAAAGGGTTGTTGTCATTAATCGTTTTGATTTTCAATGAGTATTGTGTTCCTGGAGGGACATCTGTTGATATTGTAAACTGTTTCAAACTTTCTTTGATCCATAGCAATAGAACCTGACTTCAGGTACAGCTCTAGGGTTCTTGCTGTCTATAACGTGAAATGATAAGAATATTATTCACATTTTTAAAATTTTGCATGTGTATAAAATGCATCACACTTCTCACCCAATCTGTATATTTACTATATTATTTTTGAACAGACTATCTAATTTTTATGTGTCTCTTTTAAGCTGTGCGTGTGTTCGGAGCACCACAGACTGTTGTGAGGGTGGCCATGGCAATCCGAGCGGTGGCACACAACACTGTGAATGCACTTTTTGGTTTCTATTTGGATCGCAAATTGAGGAAACTTCTCATTGCTCCAAGACTTGCCCATCTTGTGAGATTACTGCAAGGTACTGTACTGAAAACTATGTAAAGTAGCAGGCCACAATAAAGGGAAGTAAGAGACATGCAAGAAAATGCATGTTTCTGTTATAATTTCTGCATTCCTCACATCTTATTTCTGTAAGATCTATCTTTATATTATTCTCACATCTATGCTTGTGTTTCATAAATGATCTGTTTCCTTCAGGTTTCTCACTAAAGTTTTGTGTTAATTTCTTATCCCAGCCATGCATGCTAACATGCCCTCCCTATCTCACTTTCAGTCATTTGATCACAGTAATGATATGCAATGAAGTGTATAAATTATGGAGCTGCTGTTCATGTATTTTTCTCCAGCCTCCTGTAACTTCCTCCAAGTACTCCCCTCAGCACCATGTTTTCACACACCCTCAGAATTACAGTGGAACCTTGATATATTCCACTTCGTTATACAGCGGACTTGGATATACCACGGCTGTGATCATGTCCAATGTCAGTTTCACATATAATGTGGGTACTGAAGTCCCCTGAAACCTGTGTTATATCGAGGTTCCACCATATTATTTTATATATTTTAATGTTTATGTTTTTGGATAAAAAGACAAATGAGTCTGAATTGAAAAATTTTTGGTATATAGGAAGGCAATGAATTTGAAAATGAATAACATCTATGTTATATATTAATTGATATTGTACAGACATAAGTTTCAAGTGACATTTTAGTTTTATTATAAGGCAGTTCACTTTGGAGTTCCTATGGAAAAAATTAGTAGTTCTTTGTTTAGCCATGGGTGAGTTTAACAGGAATGCAAACCCAGAGTTTTTATTTTTTTATTCTTGAGAGGCTAACATTTTATAATGGGCTAGTATAACAAGGTAATTTTTTTTCAAAGACTTTGGAGTGCCAAATGAAAGTTTAGTTTCATCAATAGTACAATTTTTCTAGCCTTACTAGTGAGTGAAAATGTTACATTTGTTATTAGGTGCTGTTTTCCAACCTAAAGGATCAGCTCCATCACCAGCAGAGCTGGAATTACGAGGTTCTCGAGCTCTAGCTCAGCTGCAGACATTGGTTCCTAATTACGTTGCTCGCTGGGCTGGACCAGCATATCAAGCAGGCCTACTAACACTCTTCAGTGCACTGCAGTCTCCTGCACTGAATAAGCAGGTAAGACTTGTTCATCATTTTTCATATCACCTGTGAAATCACACTTATTTACATTCACCATCAGTGTAACTTAAAACTGACATTTGAATTGCTTCCACCTAGGAATCTACAGTCTGTTTAGTTAGAACAAGTTGCCTGTGTTTCTTGGTTGCGACAACACATGCAGTGGTTGATGAAAACAGATACAAATACAGAAATTCCTAAGCAATTGTTGTTATGCCAACCATGGATTTGAAGTATGTACTGTTTTCCATTCTAATCCAATTTTGCCAGTCATGTTTGGTTTCCTATACCAGTGGTTTTTAATTTGTACATATGGAAAAATCATAGGTTTCCATACCACACACACACACTTGTTGCAACAGGGCTGTAATGACATCCAAAATCAATTTTATAGCTTCCAGATTACTTTATCAGTGTCTTTTTATGTTTTATGTCTAATGTTACATATATTTTGTGTTTAGTTATAAAATAGGCAGCTTAGTTAAGATCTGACGAGCGTTAATAGCAGTAGCAGTTGCCCTAACCCTGAATTTCCAAGTCTTACCAATCACTGTGGGTTTTTTAATGTAAACCTTATTTTTGGAAAGGGATCACTATACTTTTTTCTGTTTTAAGCTGAAGAGGCAGACTAAACATATTTTCTGTTTAATTCTGCTGTCCCTGTTTCATAGGAATTTTGTGTTTCTTCATTCTGTACAATTTCCCTTTTTGTGTTCTTTGCAGTTGGTTTACACATTGTTGGATGTCGTGGCAGCAGAATTATATCCAGACCTGGCAACTGGTGAAATATCACCACAGTAAAGTAACTATAGCATCACCAACTGGCAACCAGTGAAGTATCACCACAGTGACTAGTGCCACTAATGATGATGATGATAGTAATAATAATGAGATTGATTAGAAATATGTTATTAGATCTTATAATATTCCTATGTATTTGTTGCTGTTTCATGTACCTTCTTAATCTGATGACAGTTATTATTATTATTATTATTATTATTAAATTATATATATTTGTTGTAGAATGTATATATTTTTCCCCTTTAAATGTTTCTTCTGTGTAATAAAGTGCCAAAAGAATCGAGTTCTTCTGGGAAGACAGGTGCAGATGGAGTAATGGCCAGAATAACTGATAGATGGCTGTAACATCTTATGGATTTTCTGGAATTTAACTGTCACGCTTCAGCTATTCATTACAGCATTTTCAGATTGTATTTCACTTAACCTTAGGATGTATTATCAACCTAATAATAATGCATCTAAAAGTGTTTTTGAGAGAACTGTTCATACAATACCTTCACATACAAGGCATAGAAATAGTATTTATGACAAAATTGCACATGGGTTTCTTTATCATGCCTTGTACTCAGGGTGTTGAATTGGTTGATTCGTAGAGTATTTAGTAACACTGATTCAACTACATGGATTATGTAGTGTCAGGTGAGATGAGAAAATGATGAATAGGTAAGGTTTTGAACAGTGGTAGTCACAGTACTATCCCAGTACTGAAATGAAGGGAGTGAGGAAAACTGTGAGAAATCTGAATTGAAATAGCCAGTAACATGATGAAGATTCAAACTGCTTATCCCCTGAACAAAATTCTAAGAGTGTAAAGACAATACTGACCTACTAATTTCTTAGGGACAGACAACAAAGAGAAAGTTTAGAAGGAAAAATATGACCAATGAATGACAGCTGCCTGTATTGTGTGGTTTATCTCTGTTTATCAGCTTGTCTCTTGCTCAGTGTGTACAAAATTAGAAAACATCATTCACTGGAGTCTGTAGAAATGCAGTAGCATATTTATAATGCATATCATTGTTTAAACATAAATGTACTGAAGTAATGATGCTGGTTTGCTTAGGTATAGTTCATCTTTTGTGGCAAACAGTGTTATTAAATAACTATCAGTTCAGTCAAAGTGTAATCACTAGAGATACTTTTACTGAGTAACTCATTCCTAGTTAGGTTGGCCTTGTATATATGTAGTGTTTAGTGTTTGGGAAATACAGAGGTGTCACATACCTATAAATAAAAAAGCCAAATACATTGGCACTCCATTCTTAGTTAAATCAGCTTGAGAGTTACACAGTTGCTGTTTTGTACAGAAAATATGAACTACATGGGGTGGAAACAAAGGAAAATGAAAAGAAGATTGCTGTCTTGGGGGTTGTAGCATCCTGGTCATTTCAGTTCTTGCTGCCTTTATCAGCAGCATATAGAACAATTTGTCAAAAGGTGATTTTCGCGTTTTCTGTAATTTATTCACCATTGTATTGAACAGAAAACAGACGAAGTCTATAGTAGCTTCGTCAGCATGACAGATCGTAGAAGTTCAAATTTGACGTACAGGCATACCGATATTCTTAATGTCAGCATTTTCATAGCCATTGCAACATTACGGGTTCGGATTGTAATAAAATTTACCATTAGAGTGCAGCACCTAATCGACCGTGGTATTTATGATTTGTGTTTATGGCGTTTAGGAAGTAAGAGTTACGTGAAATTGAAGATGGATAAAGCAAGAACGTTTGTAAGTAAATATGGAATGATGCCAAAGAAAGAAATGTTATTGTATGATATCGGCTTCCAATTTCAGTAGTATGTGAGAATAATTTATTTTCGAATTTTGAACTACATGTTATGAATTACCGGTAGGCATTCTATAAAATTCCATAATTATTTTTCAGGTGATACCTGATAAAGTTTGTCGGCGTGCTGGTTTATCAGCTGTTTGGTTTCCCAGCAATAAATTAGCTGCACATGCTTACCGTCATGTTACTGCTCACTCACAAGGTAATGAGTTCGGGAAGTGTAAAATGTGAGGTTAAGTTACTTGTTTGTTACTCACGACAGAAGGTCACCTAGTAAAGCAAAGCGGTTGAATTAATACAGACACTGGAGTTCTCATCTTTGTTAAAATAACAGTTAAAGTAAAATTGTAATTCATGGATGTACCATGCATTGTTTTCTCCCATCACACTCTTTTCCTCTTCCACCGATCTTTGTTGGGATATGTTTGCCGCTGCTCATCTCTCAGCTATGAGTATTTATTAACTCAGGAAGAAGCATCATATTGATATATATTTATTGTAGCAGTTAACACATTCAGACTGGAAGATAATGATTTCATTATCAAAAAATTACATCCTGCTAAGAGAAAGGGAAAATTTTTGATGCCAGTCACAAAAGTAATCCATATTCTCAGTGTATCTATCTTTCTTTCAGACAAGTATAGTGAGTTTGCACCATGTGAAGCTATGGTTCATCTTGTAAGATTTGATGTGATGCTGTTTGATCCAATTGCTCGCAAACTTATTAATGAGTCCAATGGAACATTTCTGGCAGGGCAGAAGTTGGTAGCACAAGCAGGTGGAACTGATATTAGGGGTGAACTGCTGAAACTTAGCCGACAGTACAGGTACATTCTACTGGAAGACAGGCAATTCTGTGCAGTACTGATGCCTACTTTCTATAGAATATCTTCACTCCATAACCAGGGGCACGCACTATATTCCAGGCTCTGATTTTATTTTGTACCTTGTAAACATATTGCAATAGTTATAACACCTTTGTTTCTCTAAATAATCACCTAATCCCACATACAATTTTCTGAAACTGTATGACCTTCATAAAACTTTTTTAAGCCTCCAAAAGAACATGCTACTGAACCTCCTTACTGCTGTCGACTCCTTGAGTATCCCAGTGATATGAAAATTGATAGAAACTAAGTCATAAACTGTAAGGCAGGTGTTAAAGCTTCTCCCAGCCTATTTCCTTGAGAAATTTGATACAGGATATTGGTCTGGGCATGCCAAATATTTGCATCAGTGATAGCAGTTTTCAGTATATCACTTCTGTTTTCATCAAGAGTGGACTTATAATCTTCCCAAATATATGCAAACAATTTAGACACCCTGAATAGTGATGAGTGTTATTGACTACTGCAGACACCTGTCAGATAATTTTAAATCTGGAAACTCTCAGCATTGAGTAGCTTGTCAGGCTTCATACTGGATTGATTGTTATAATCTTAAAGACAATAAAATTAATAAAATTGTAAATTCATACTTCTGCCTTCAGATGTGAGATACATGCTACATGTAATGTGCCGAGTTTCACAATTTCATTCTAAGCTTACCAGTACAAACAAAAATTCATTCCTGGAATTTATTGTATGTTCTTTGTAGGTTTCCAGGACCTGCAACTTTACAGTGATTATCATAAAGGTTGCTATTATTTTGGAATATTTTCACAAACAGTAGTCTTTAACAAAAAATCGTGTTTAATCCATTCTCTTGTGGATATGCCACTGTTTCTGTGTGATTTATGAGTCGTGGTTTAACATTGTTTTGTTGACTCATAGGTTACCTAATATTGAATTTCAGGATGATTTTGATTGGTGAATTGTAAGGATGTGTCTGTTCTGCACTGTTGAAATTTTTTCAGTATTTAGTTGTGTATATTTGTCATATGTTTCATGAGGTCCATTGTTCGAGCTTGCTTGGAGAATTTGCAGTCAGAAGCTTCAAAGATTGAGTCCTCCCGTAAAGAAGTATGTTTAGAGTTGGTGGTAATCTTCTACAATGTTGAATTCTTGTGGCATTTGTGTGAAATTCTTTATGTAGATGTCATTCCAGGTAAGAATACAACTAATTATATGGAATGAACCAAAAAAAAGATCCCATCCTTTCAAATTGATATTTTGCATTTATTGTCATTCAAGTATTAAATTTCTATTTAAAATGATGCATAAATAACAGATCAGAAGAAAATTAAATTTAAACTGTACCCATGCTTGGCAGCTGGAGGATATTACATGACAAGGAATTGCATGTACAGCTCATCTGGTATTGATAGAGTAGCAAAATCAAGGAGGTTATGTTGGGCAAGACTTATAGCTGATGGAGGGGACAAAAAAATACAGAATGTTACTGGATAACCTTTAGCCAGTGTGAGGACAGAGAAGGAGGCAGTGTTGGTGTACATTTTAAGGAAATAAGGTGTTGGAATAGGAGATGGATGGAACTAAGTCCATATCCTATCCTGGGTGGAGTTCTGTATTATTGGTGTTGAACCTTCAGTTTATGCTACTAGATTGTATGGTTTGGTTGAAGTGAAGTGTAAAGTAGTGTGTTGAAGTGTTTCATGTTCATTTTATTCCTTAAATTTTAACCTACAATTACCATTTACTTTTCAGGTGATGTTGTTCTTCCACAGATAATGGAATGGATAAAATTTCACTTTTTCCACTATGAACGCCAAGCAAAAGGCATTTTAAGTGGTGAATATGGTTCCTCAGTGCTGGATAATGGAGCAGAGAATGAACCAGAATATTGGAATACTATAATTGGTCTTGTTCTTCAGGGCAGACTAGATGGTGCAAGAGCACTATTAAAACTGCACTCTGCATCACCTAGTGAGCCATTTAAGTCAGTGGATTATGTTATGAGGACCATGCCTCAATATAGTGTAAGTTTATTATGAGGGAAAGAATGTTTTTGCAAAATATGATTTGCTTTATTGTTAGAATTTGTGTGAGCCGGTATAACTCAGTTGCTAAGCTGAATGGATACTGCCTGAACATCTGGACTTTAATCCCCTGGAGGAGCAGAATAAATTCTGAAATCCAGACATTCTCCTGTTAATGGGAACCAAGGGCTCTTTTCCTGGAGGTAGATTGGTCTAGTGTCAAGGTTAAGAATGTGTTGATCTTTACCTCCACTCGTGCATCCACTATGCTTCATGATGTGGTGCTCGGGCACAGGGAGAACTGTACTTTCACTCGCCATTGTAGAACAGTTGAATGTTACATAAGGAATACTGATACTTTGAGTTACTTATAAATGTTTTATCCTATGATTTTGTAATAGCGATGTGCAGATTCTGAAATTTTCAAATTAAGACTTTATCATTTCATTTTATCCTTAAGCCTGAAAATGTTTGTTCTGTTGTGTCAAAGATAGGTTATCTATTATATGTTATTACCACATAGAATTAAAAGGTGCTGTCAGCAATATCATTATAGATATTGATAAACATTTATTTTAAAACATATCATACAGAAGTTTATAATTTGTTGAGTCTACAAATTTTGTTGGATGCATTTTTCAGTTTAGCATGTGTTAAAATATTTGTAAAAATTAACACTTGTTAACAAGTAAAGTGGTTCCCCTGACTAGCTGATCTAATTTGAAAGTTGTATTTTTGGGCTTCAGTTTTACTGAGAAGCTCCAGTTCTATATATCATTAGGGATAGGAGTAAAAACAAAAATTGTTAATTAGTTGAAGATGGCTGTCTTCTGGGTTGTTGTGCCATGTAGTCTGGTAGAAGATTACTGACGTTTCAGAGTCCTTGATCCTCCATCATCAGGGCATTAATCAGAAGACAGCCATCTTCAGACTCACTGCCATGAAAACCTCAAATCCTACATGTTAATTAGTTTCTTAATAAACTGGGTTCTTTCTTGATGTTACAAGATAACAATAATCTACTAGCATGTTCTCAGTGCAAATATAATTATATGCTTTGTTTATATTACTTAGGTGTTTGGAGGTTTATCACTGACAGAATTCAACATGAGATGGAAAGGCTGGCAGAATGAAACTGCATGTAAACTTCGTGCTGGAACATTTGCATCCAGGAAAGAACTGGAGCTTATAATGAAAGTATGAAGTTCATGTACTGAAATGTTATATTGAAGGCCCAGATTAGCATGAACTCCTTTTTATTTGCTTATATATTGTAATATATATATGTAAATGTTAAATATTAAAATGGGCCTTAAATAAATAGTATGTGAAGGTGTGAAGTGGATTAAACAGACTCAGGAGAGTCCAGTAACAGGTTTGTGTGAACATGAGCTTTGGCTTCCATAAAAGCACGGAGTTCATTGATCACCAGAGTAACTGTCATCTTTTCAATGAAAATTCTTCTCAATGTAAGTCATAAGTTAGGAAACACTGGATATATATTTATATTTATTGAAAACAAAGCATGAAAGAAAATGTAAGGACAAGAGAATTTAATGATGTGGGAAGTAGGAAGAATGCCATAATTAATGTCCATTCATAATACTGTAAAGACCAGTTATTATGAGCTGGAGATCAAGGCTTTTAAAGAGTATTGAGTGAATGGGAGGCCAATATTAAAATAGACCAGTCAAGTGGATTTTGATTATGTGGATTGGGTTGAATATAAGGTAGCAGTTGTATTGGACAGCATTAAATCGAGCCATAAGCTTTTAGTGTAGATTCAAAGTATTACATTGTATTTGAAATCCAGTCATTGGAAATTTGCAGACAGACAAAGCTTTTCCATTATTTGATAGTTTTATGCGCTTATGAAAAATATAATAAAACTGAATGGGAACTTTAAGTGTATAGGCTCATAGGTGTTATGTCTGTTTCAGCTGATGGTAGGTGATGAAGAAGCATTTCTGGAAGTGAAAGATCAGTGTGGAACATGGTATCAGTTCATGGCATCATGGTTATTGTATACAGAACCAACTGTGAAATCATTTGACCTCAGTTATCATGCTCACCAGTGCATTGCTAAATTTGGTGGTATTTCAAGACTGAAACACAGTGATCTCATCCTGCTTGCTCTAATGGAATCTGATCTTCATCAGGTAATCTTTCTCAGTATTGAGCTAAATATTATTCATTGAAATAAATCAGTATCTTCTCTAAAAGTGCAAAGAAATCTGTTCTAATGTACACCAAGTCTTTGATCATACTCCATCTATACACATATAAAAGTATATTTTCTGTACAGTAATGTCAATATAAATTACTAAATAGTTGTAAAAGAAATGCAACTGTGTGACTACATATAAAATTATGGGTACTTTATGTAGCATATAACAAAGTATTCTAAAATGCTGCATCTCAGTTGTAATAGGGTAGCTAGAAATTGGTTTTGATTGTCATTATAGCTTTACCTCTAGTAGATGTAATCTTTTGGTATGGAAGCTACTGATTTCCCCCTTCCCCCACATAAGAAATGTCAGTTACAGAAAATCAAATACAGCAGGTAGTGAAGTGGTTACAACTGGAAAACTGGTTATTTGATATATGTAGTTGAAAAAACTATGGCCAGAGAGAGATTGCTATGCTCTTTATGTTGCATGCAAACAGAAACTGACTTAGAATTTGCAAGACCCTTACACCACGGATAAACTTTGAGGTTAAGTTTGACAACTTTCATATATGGATATGCATGCAAGTGAAAATGTCATAGTCCAGCACTAGTACTGTTTAGGAAAAAATAAATCCACAAGAACTCAAAAATAAGTAGAAGGCCCATGATTTTTGTAACTAGTGAAGTTGTTCACACCCTAACTTTTATGGTAGAGGAATGGAAAAATAGAAAATATTCAAAAGTTGCTTTAAAATAGCTAGAGAAAAATCTGGTAATTACAGTCATTAGTTTTTCATTAAATTTACTTGCAGTATGAATTTTTTGTAGTCATTAACTTCGTTAGAGACTGCAGTTACATTTATGCTTCATGTAGTAACTATATATATAATGGTGAAGCACTGTTTAAATTGATTTCTCTTCATCCTAAGAGGTGATGAAACTTGTGTTTAGTATGATATGAAAATGATATTTGTTTGAGGACGTAATTCTGATCTTGGAAGGAGAGGAAGTTTCATAAAACAATGTTTTATGTGATATACCAGGTCTCCAAAGCATATCTTTTTTAACTATACATGCATATTGAAATCTAAGATTAGTTGTCCATTTTGGTATCTGACATTCATTTGTGGAAAATGCCAGGAAGGCTCTGAGATTTTTGACAAAGCTTCTTCTTCAGGTAAAATATGATTCAGAATCACTGACCACCTTCAACAGCCAGTATTATCCTGTTATAAAAATCTAATAACATCATTAAAAGGAACAATGACTTCTGGGCCCACTACTGCTGGAAAACCAGACAGACATGGATAGGACCTTATGTTGTTCTTTGCTGATGATACAGTGTGAAGAACAGAGAACATGGAAAGCTTATAAAGTAGTGATGAATCACCCAACTATAATAAATTGTTTGATTAGATTCTTCAGGCCTATGTGGAACTGGTATGTAATATTAAATCCTTGATGAGACAAATTATATCAGTGTTTAAAGCTCATAGATTGTGGATTGGTTTAGGAAGTTTAAAGTGTTTGATTTGATTTTTTTTTGGGGGGGGGCATAGAGTGTAAAAGATTTACATCAGCAATAAGTTCACATGTATGTCTGTAAAATCACAAAGACCACATATGAAGAATTACATACATATACACACAAAACTGAAGTACCTCTTTCTACTCATGTAGTGATACTTTTATTACTATGGTTTCAGGTGATCAGATTGATTGAGCAAACATCAGAAAATGGTTGGTTTGCAGCTCATCTTACTAATCTACTTCATCATTGTGGTTGTCTTAAGATTCTTGACAGTCAGCAAGGGAACCAGTCGGTGAGGTTAGTTTCCCTGTTAAGACTGAAAACATTTTGTGAATGCTTGGAGTGTCAGATCGCAAACAGTTATTTGGGTCAGTGATATACTGAAAGTATCTTATTTCTGTAATTTCTCATTAAGAATTTCCATGACAAAGCCAAACTATTTTGGGTTTCCTGAACATTCTTTTAATGTACATAGTTCATACTGTGAAAGGTGCAGTTTGTTCATGTATTTAATGATTACATTACAATTTGTAACAGTCTGGCCACAAACTTACATGAGCAACTACTTCTCAACTATGGGACACTCCTGATGTCTCATCGCTCTCTTTGGCAAGTTGGCATCAGTTACCTAGATCACTGTTCAGCAGAAGGACGTGCCCACATAGAAGTTCTCCTTCCCACGTTGCCTCTTGGTTCAGAGGCACGAGCACTCAAAATTATTCAAGTGGCTCGTGACAGGGATTTGCATAACATTGGTGAGCTTAAGCTGAATTAATCTGTTAGTATAGTGAATTTATAGCCACAGTGGTCTAGCGGTTAGAACGCTGGCCTTGTAATCCTGGGGTCTCGGGTTTGATTCCCGGCGGTGCCCGAATTTATAACTTGTGTTGGGCAAGGCCGTGGTCTAGGCAACACGGAGTTTGCCTCCGTGGCATCCCAACAATTACTCCATTCACACACAGAAGAAGGCAATGGCAAACCACTTCTGGATCATCTGCCAAGAACGTATATGAACAGGTCCCAGGCCGAGAAAAGGATGGAAGGATCCTGTTCATATGGACCTGTCGTCAGACAGAACACTAAAAAAAAATGATGAAACAAATAAAGTCCAGCGATGGTTCAATTCAAGACAATAAGATCACATGTGCCACAACGTATCATCAGTTACATTTACTGAAATGTTTACAGCCGGGATTCTGAAAGTTGATCTGGAATTCTTTACAGACACAAACTGTCATTGTAGTGGCAGTGAACCGTTTTCCATTTCTCCGACAGCTATGACGTGAGGTTTCGAAGGTCAGAACATTAAGGTCACAAATCAAAAGATGTCACTTACGAAGGACCTAAGCTTCCCTGGCGTAACGCTGGCCTTGTAATCCTGGGGTGTCGGGTTCGAATTTATAACTTGTGTTGGGCCAGGCCGTGGTCTAGGCAACACGGAGTTTTCCTCCGTGGCATCCCCACAATTACTCCATTCACACACAGAAGAAGGCAATGGCAAACCACTTCTGGATCATCTGCCAAGAACGTATATGAACAGGTCCCAGTCCGAGAAAAGGGTGGAAGGATCCTGTTCATATGGACCTGTCATCAGACAGAACACTAAATAAATAAATAAAATAGTGAATTTACTTACCACATAAATTATGCATATTAAAAGTTTTTGTAACAGTCCAGCTTGAGACATATGCAACACATAGCTATGCTGTGAACAATGAAAGCCATATGTAAATTAATTTTTCCTTGTAGTTGGCATGAGCATGAAACCTGAAGCCAGCCTTGAATGACATAAGTAATATCCCTAGTCATCTGTAATTGGAACTTAATAATTTTTATACATAACTGAATCTGATATAAACACGCCTACATTATTATAACAAAAATTGAAATTTGTCAAAGCATAAAAATAATTAGAAAACCAAGTTTGAAAATAATCAACTTCTACACAACCTAAGTCTCACTGACCGACAGTATTAACATTATTCTGTAATATTAAAAGAAATGCTAGTTCTGAGTGCAGTACTTTCTAATGAATTCGGACGGACAAAAATTATAAAACTGAATGAAGTATAAAAAAATGTGTGTGAAGACTAGAAATAAGAATGTATTATCTGAAATATGTGTATAATGTAACAGGAAAAGAATTAACTATGAAATGCTTGTACAGAGTAATTATCTTGTTTAAGTATTAAATATAACATGTGTGGAACATCATCATAATTGCCACATGCCTTGATTATAGAAAAACAATTTAAGAACATAAAATTGAAAGTTGTAAAATTAATTCTTATCAATGTTTCAGTTGCAAGCACCTCCAAGATTATGGGAATGCGATCCTATCAACAGCGTCGTTTGGGCAATGCACTAACGTGGGCACTGCGGTCACAAGATGCTGGCTTCGCTACATACCTGGCTAATAAGTTCCTTGAATTATATAGCAGAGAAGGAAAGTTCCATTCGTTGGATCTACTTGACAACCTTGGCTCTTGTATGCTTGTCAGTGATAGACTCACATTTTTGGGTAAGTGAAATGTACACTCCAAGTATGATCCTTCCTTTTTATTTCATTATGTAGTCTTTACACAGTTTAGTTCTTTATTTGTTTGAAGCAGGGAAGTACATACATATTTTATTGCGTATGTGCCCCATAAATTATATTTCAGTTTAAGTTCAGATCCATCAGCATTTGTACCATATGCTAATTCACGTTGTGGTAGCAGAACCTAATGTTTCAACAGTACTAATACACAATCCTTAGTCTTCACAACCTACATCCCTATGATCCAAGCTGATGTTCCATCCCATTTTCTTATCTTCTGAGCCCAGTCTGTCATAGCCTCCTATATTTCACTATCCAAACAGTACTAAATGGCCTGTACAAATCATAAGGTCCCTCATCATATAATGTCCTAAACTGCACCCTTCTTTGGTTCAAATATTTTCCCAAATACTTTTAACAAATGCATAAAAATGAAAAAATGAGGAAAACAGGAATCAAAACCTGATTGGTGGTCCTTTTTAATTAAATCTGTATTTTCAACAGGGAAGTACTGTGAATTTCATCAGCTTTATCATGCCGGAGAGTTTCGAGATGCAGCTGCGTTACTTGTGTCACTTCTTGCTTCCAGACTAGCTCCTAAAAGGTTAGTGAAAATAATGGAATAAATTTCCATTGTTTCAAAGCCTGTCTTTGCCCCCATCATTAGGTGTCATCAATCCCTGATGAAAAACAATGGGAATTAAAGGACATTTATTGTTTATTCTGGGGATACTTTTATTCTTAATCACCATTAAGGTGCATGCATTTCTCCTCATTGAGACCCACAATGTATCTCTTATTGTTTACTAGATACCCAAATCCCCTCCAATTTTTGGTCCTTGAAGTCTTTATATAGTTCGACATAACAGTTTTCATCAAACATTTTTTTCTTAAATTTTTCTTTCTTTCATGCACTGTGTACCCCGAATTTCCTGTCTCTTCCCAGATCTATGTATTTCGCCTTCTAGAATTATTTCACTAAAAGCACGTTCACTCTTCTTTTTTTTAAAAGATCACGGAATTGTCATGTTTTATTTCCAGCTTTTGGATGACTCTTCTGACAGACGCATTGCCACTTCTAGAATCAAATGACATTGTTCTTACCTCTGAAGACACATATGAATTACTGAACAGCATGGAGGAGCTTCTTGGAGAGGGACAGATTCCAGACTTTGGAGACACACCAGGAAGCAACAAATTGACGACAGTACAAGACCAGTCAGTTGATACAAACAGTGTCGTGGAAGAAAAGGTGAAGTTGATCCGATTGGCTTTGGCACGCAACTTAGCGAGGTCTCTCAATCATGAAGGATGCCTTGTGGATTGAACACATGCATTTGCGTCCACCAGTCATGAATGTCAAGAAAGAGACTCTTAAGCCGGGGGGGAAAAGAAAGAAAGAAAGACACCAAAAGTTTCAGAAATAATTTCAATATATTTCTGGTAATCATATAGTACAATGCTTTTACAGAAATTGATGTTCTATATAGCATTACTGTTTGATATTGTACTTTTCAGCCTCTGATTACAGAAATAAAATAATCATAACTTTTCTTTGTCCATTTTGATACATAATAAATAACAGTTAATAATAATACTCAGTTTTGTTGACTTATGAAATGGGTCACATAGGCACCAAAGGCATCGTCAATTTACCTTCAGGAAAAGGTCCCTCAGTGCCCATTACAAGGGAATGGTCCGGTTGGTCATGCCGAAACCTCACCTGAAAATTTGCTCGTCTACAGAGCCCACCTGGTAATGAACACAAAATTTCAGCTGCTGATGTGCTGTGCAAGGGTGCGAAAAAATTGCTCAAAGTTGGAATGTATATTTAAAATTCGCACCACCACGCAGCGAGGTATTCACCAGTACATTGCAGCGGAGGGCGTGGGCCAGTCACTGAGAGGACAGTGAAAGATTAGTCTCTGAGGAGCTAGAAGCTAAACTGTTGTTGTTTGCGCATAGTAGAGGAGGTGATTTAGTGACATTGTGATGCCACGCAATACGCTGATCTGCGACCTCAGGCTTTCGTAACGCCAGCGCAATTCTGTCTGCACAGAACAGGCCAAGTTTGCGAACTAGAGGAATGTGCAAATAAACCTTTAATTCGATGTTCATAGTGCAAACTGAATATATGCTCCAAACATTCTATTGATGCTTCACATTTCTGTCAGAATTATAGTGCATAATTTTGTACATTTTTTTTTCGTACGCATTCTGCGAGCTCTGCTTGATTCCTAATATAAAATATACTGGGGAAATACCCGTCAAAAATAACATCAATAATCCTTTGAAACCCATTCCCATTCATTGCACATTACACCCCAGACTTAATGAAATTTTATAAAGTTAATTCCATCAATTTTTCTTTCCCCGTCGCAAAAAGAAAATCCTGTTTCTGTTAACAAAGATTGAACTCAAATGCAAGCGCAGTGCTGGTGGAGTTAAAACTGTGTCTGCAATTTCGTAGTTCAGTGGTGGGTTCAAAGAAAGAATAACTAAACACTTTCACTGCATTTCAATGATGGGTTCATGTCTCTTACCCCCTGAACCATAGGCTAATCCTCCAGACAGAAGACATTCATCAGTCAGTAATTCGAAACAACAAAATATGTAACTGTAAACATTTCCCTGAATAGCACTGAAGCTTAAGTGCACGAACCTGTCCAACTTACAACAAAAATGGTGTCCAAGATACAGGGTATTGTGGACATGTAAAATTATAGGGTATTCGCCAGTTCCAATTAAAAGCGTCCAGGACATAGGGGTGTCCAACTTGAGAGGTTTTACTGTATATTAGGACATGTAAATAGTAGCCATGGATGAGTGAGCAGTCTTTTGTTTCGGTACATTGTTTCCACAAAGCAGCATATAAAACACCTGGGTATCATATATATATATGTAGGAGTCCTAAGTCGGCTCGAAGACTTTCTGCCACCGCAAATATGCGATACAAATTTAAATTCGAAGAATAATCGATACAGATTGAGACAGAAGCGGAATCTAGCTTTTGAAACATTTTATAATTTAGATGACGGACGAAATACAAAATAATAATTTCACATATTATAATGCACCATCATCATAAATTTTCAGACTTTGATTGGTTTTCATGTTTTGCATTTGAACCTTTGTACAGCTGAGTGGATTCATGAGAAAAATGGTTTTTGTAGGCTTACATTAACTGAAAAATTCACAACAGTTTTAAGCATCCAAAGGGGTGGCTTGGTGAGGAGACCTCGCAAAGTGTGATATGTAGCCCCTTTTCCTTCATCCCCGGTACTCTGTAACTTCTTTTATTGCTCGTGTTCTTTGTCTACCATATTCATGTTTTGTGTTGTAATTTAAACAAAAATACGAAGATGAAGGCCTCATTATTTTTAAATTTTAAGGGGAAAGTACAGTTATCTGTGATGCTTAACCAAGCACCAGGTTGTTAAGAAATGCGGGGGAGTGAATGTTGTTTGTTTCTGACCTACGACTGGGAATCAAACGAACCTCCGAAATCAACATGGCCGCCTTCTTTATTATTGTGATTCTGTTGTCGTCTGTGATGCACCATAGAGTGAGTGAGTGATTAAAATGCTTGGGCTATTTATTACTCGAACAGTGCCTGGAGTGTACCGCAGGAACTTCAGACAACTGCTTACATTCCTTATCAATGTTAATTTCAGTAAAGCTTATAGGCCTAATCATTAATGTGTATTCTTTAATATGCCAATAAAATTTACCCCAATAAGCAACATCTTAAGAAAGACTCGAACCAAGGACAAACGTATTTTGCCTTGGCATCGTTCTTTTATCGCAGTTACGATCCTATCAACAGAAACCATCCTTGTCAGGACTTGAATCCAAGATAGTTTATCAGTATTGAGGTCTGTTTCTGTAATCTCCTCTTCCAAGTAAAAAACTCTGATCCTGGTGCCATTGTTGTATCTTGTTTAGTTTCGGAGTTGAAGGA